CATTCCTGCCAAACTATTTGATGCATCTACAGTACAGTGCTTCAGAAGAAAGGAAAGAGGCTCTTTTAAAAAGACGAATAAAACAGCTCATTTAAAACTATTGGGAAAGTTCCTTCCAGCATAAAGCAGAAGTCTCAAAATTGGCTCTGGAGCAGCCTTGTAACCCACTGTAATCTCTTGGACTCAGCCTCTTGTTTTGGTTGTTAAACCTTAACTGTGGCTCTTCCATTACATTGGTTTACCAGCAACACCCAGGGCCATTGTACTGGGGCAGCTGGCAATGCACAGACCCATTTGTTTCCGTGTTGCTTCTTTCAGCAAAGCAGCTCTGCAGTTGTGCTTTCTAACTGCAGATGGGTCTTACTGTTTCCCAGATTGGAATTAATTAACCATTTTTTTTTTAGGTAACTGTCACTGTACCTACCATCTAGGCATATATTGCATTCGCAGGTGATCTTACTTGTGACTGGGTTTTCCTCTCAGCATTCTCAAAAATTGCTTCTCTTCTGCGTTCAGTCCTCAGAAGTCTTTATTTTCCAGCATGCAGCAGGCCTGAAAGCCTCCAAAAGAAATATTTGTATTTCAGATGTCTGGCAGAGAGGGCTTAGTCAGAAGAACAATACTTTTGTCGGATACCACTTGTAATTCATTGTCCAAGAACAGGCATATGAAATAGCTGAATGTTTTCATTGCCAGAAAAAACACAATCTGCTGCCCAGCCCAGGCTTTGCTCAGCATAGAAAAGAGACAAGTCCTGCAGTGAGGATAAGTTATTTAAGGAGCCCTACATTCAACTTGGCCCTCCAGATACTACTGAAGAGTAGAGAGAGACACCCTATCAAGATTACTTACTACATCACCCATTACTATCAGCAGTAATTGATTCTTCATTCTTGTACTCTCAGAAAAGGGAGACATACTTGCAAATATTTAAAAATCCAGTGTTGAAATGGGGAGGGGTGTGTACGTTTATTGAATTCTGAGACACAATTTTTAAAACTTTCAAATAAAGTCACCTGCTTAGCTTCAGCAATTGTAACATCTACTTTAATTTGCTTGTAGGTAGGCAAAGGAGGTGAGGGAACTAGCTGATCCCAGAGCTGTTCAGCAGTCAAAGGCTGCTGAGGGGGTTAGGCTGATTTGAAAATGGCCTAGAAGGAGAGGGGGTTGTACATTCCAGTACTGGACAACCACTGCCATCAGGTGAGCAGATGCTCTTTTTGTTCACGGCAGATGAAGTAACACGTTCAAGAGCATGTGAGCAAGCAGGGGAGAAATGAGCAATTGAGAGAGAAGAAAGATTAATGCATTAGAAGAACCTCTCTAAGTAAACTCTTAATTTTTGATCATTCAGGGATTTTTAGAAGCCATTTTCCATATGTTTTCAGGTATTGAAGAAGGAAAAGACAAGCCAAAGTTGGACTGAACAATAGAGGCAACATGGAGGATTGTTTAGTGTTCAATGGAAGAGTTCTCATCTCTAACAGAGGCTGACAAGAAGAGGAATGTTTTGGAAAGGAGGAAGTTTATTGGGCCCTTTGCTTGGTGCAAGGATATTTTGGGGTTTTATATGGAGGGAAAATTATTTCAGTTAAGAATAATAATAATGTTTCAACCTCCTTCCTATTTCTCCATGCTTGCATGTGACATACACATTTAATATGTATATTTAACTCCACAGCACTCTCAACATGGATTTCTTGCATCATATGTCATTAAATCATTAAGTCATGAAATCTTTTCACTTCCACCAAGCAAAGTCCATTCTCTGTATTGTTTGAGAAAAACTTAACGAGGTAGGACTAATATGGGGAAACAAAACATTCCTGTTTGAAAGTATAATTCCTAAAATTTGAAAGTACAATATAAAAATACAATAGGAGTTAATTGCATGAATGTATCTGAAGAATTCAATCTGACTGAAATATTAATGTAACACAGTGTAACAGCTGCCTTACGTCAGTGATGTTAATAATTTCATCAGTCCAGTTAAATCTTATTTAGTGTTAGACTATCTAAATATGATGCAACTTTTCTTAAGCGGGCCTAAATAAAGATCAGATTATCCTTGTGTTTCTGTTTCTTTATGCTGATTCTTGAAATTCTAGGTAGACTGATGGGATTTGAATGATACATTTTTGGGTTTTCCACCCTCAACTGCAGATGATATTATTTCTACATGAGGATTTTTCTTACTTTCCTAGTACAAGATCTGATCCTGCATTTTCAAGTTGTAAGTTCTCAATAGATGGGCTGAGCCATTAGCGTTGTACCAGAGAGAGCATTTAAACCTTACTCCAGGAAGGCACGTAAGCAGATGTATAAGATTAAACATATGCCTGTTTGTATTAGGAATTCAGTTGCAAAATACTAGCAGTAATTTAAATTTGACAGGGTTCTGTTTAATTATCAGACAATCAAGAAGGAACAATAGTAGACAGAAAAATTGTATAGAATTAAAAGGAATGAAATAATTTTCAGCTAGAAATTATTTATTAAAAAGTAACTTTAAGATCCCAGTGTCTTGTTATGCTCATCACATATTTATTCATTAGTGTATTTATATGTATTTAGTTTAACACATGCAGAGCATTTCAACGATGTATAATTTAAAGTGTAATTTTTTTTCTGCAGAGTTTAAATATGACTTAAACCATGTTTCTGCTCTGGAACAGTTTTGGGGGAAACTTATCTCATACAACTCACCACGTATTTCCAAAGTATTTTTTTAAATGTGTCATAGGAAACAGTGCACAAGTTCAGCAATGTGCTTTGTGGTTGATTTGCTTCAAAAATAAGGCTTCTGTGATTATGCTGTCTTTGTGACTGTCTGTCCTCTCATTAATTTATAACTTGTTGATCAGAGTTGCGAAGATCTCAAAGCTAGGCAAGTTACTAGAAAGTTCCTGGAAAAAAAGTGGCCAATAAAGAAGAAGGGGCTCCTCTGATGGTCCCACAGAGGAAGAGGACAGGACACACAAAACCAGCAGAACTGGAAGCAAATTAGCTGTAGCCATGTGGCCTTGTGTGAGGGATGTTATGTTCTGCTGGACCTGAGCTGTACATTACATATGCACAGTTAATACTGCAACATGGTTACTCTACCGCAGGTAACGAGTGCTTGGTTGTGATAGGTGTTTGATACTGGGCCTGATATGATGTTTGTTGTTTGCAACAGGCTTTCAAGATACAGGAAGGAGAGAAAACACGTTTAGTGAGCTAGGAACTGCTTAAAGTCACTGCTTCTGAAAGCTCTGGTAGCGCATGGAAGTACTGGTGGACAATGAATATGATAAAGAATTTGGCTGTACTTTCCAGCAACAGCAGCAGCAGCAGTGACAAACATTGTGAGAGATTATTGACTGCAGCTTAGGGTGGGAAGCCCAAAGCACAAACCCTGTTGACTTGTCATTTTAAGAACTTGCACAACTCATGCTCTGCCATTAAGACTAGGACATTTCTGCTTTTTTTTTAATTTCATGAGGATTATTTCCTTCACTGAATTCAATAATTAATTCTGATGGAAATAATATGTTAAATAAAAATAAGAAATTCCAAAATGTTACCAAGCTGTACATGTTCTGCTAGAGCACACTCTGGACATTTCTGCTGTATTTATTGCACCACTGAATAGCTGAGACCTTAAAACCTGGATGTTGCTGGAAAGATTCCTCTTTCTCAGTAAGTTTTGCTCCTGTTTATGGTAAGTTTTTCTTCTAATACCATGTCATTTTAGGTGATACTGGAAAACTAGCAACAATATGAAGAGAACAGAGACATCAGAGATGAAAATTGCGTGCCTGAATCCATAGGTATGTGTCCAAGTGAAATAATCCCTTTCAGAGGTAGAGTTTAGGGACACTTAAAAATACATCCCTCATATCTCTGAATTTGTGACTATTCAGCACCTTAAAATAATAAAATCACCAAGCTTAGATCTCAGTTAGGCCTCTGAGGCTGACAGTGTTGGCCAAAGGCAATATATGTGACACACAATGTGTTTGGTTTAATTTGGTTTGAGGAAATTTACAGTATTCCAAGAAGGTTTGAACTCAATTTGTCTTTTCAGATATCAAAAACTTCTCCAACTCCTATGAGCTCTGAATCACGGATTTTAAAGTCAAAAACATTTTAGAGCATTAAATCCAGCCTATGACGTATGAACCATGATATAAATAACTTACAGGCCTGTGTACCCAGAGCACGCTCTCCTAGACTGTGTTCATTCCCTTTAGAATTACACAATCCATCATTCTTAAGAAAGATGATGGATGAATGATGACTAAAGTAAAAGTCACTTGTAAGCTTGCCAAATTTCAGCCATCTTGACTGAAATTGTCCCTGAAAGGTATTTCTCTTGGGGAGAGTATTTTTTGGGTGGAAAACTTTTTGTCAGAACAAGTCATCTATTTCAAAGTGCAAGTCTGTGAAAAAAAAATTACAATGTCTGGAAAACTTTTCTCTACTTCTCTGTTGCTGTAGAACTGGGTCTTTGGAAGAAGGACAGTGTTTATGTTAGTAATGCTTCTAAATTTATGGGGAAAATCTATTTGTCCGAGTTTTAGAAAAAATATACCTGCACTTCCCTGTAGTGCACAGGTAATTTTCCAAAGTGTTTATCAGCTCTGGGAATGATCCATACTGTGGCTGAACAGGATTTTCCCTACTGTCCCTGATCTGCTGACATTCTCCAGGCCTGACTACTCATGACACTCACCAGAATGGGGACCCCAGCTTTGATTCCCATGTAAGCTGCCTACTGGGATTGTTTAGTTTGAAGAAGAGGAGGCTGAGGGGAGGCCTCATTGCTCTCTACAACTACCTGAAAGAAGATTGTAGGGAGGTGAGTGTTGGCCTCTTCTCCCAAGTGAATAATGACAGGACCAGAAAAATGGCCTGAAGTTGCGCCAGGGGAGGTTTAGACTGGATATTAGAAGTAATTTATTTACTGAAAGAGTGGTTGGACAGTGGAACAGGCTGCCCAGGGAGGTGGTGGAGTCACCGTTCCTGGAAGTGTTTAAAAGAAAGATAGATGTGGTGCTTGGTGACATAATTTAAGCACTGAACAGGTAAATTAGGTTATGGTAGGGTGTTTAGGACTTGATGATCTTCAAGGTGCCTTCCAACCAGGATGATTCTATGATTCTATGAAATAAGTAAAGCCTAAAGCAATAAGAATAGGTTCTAGATTGATAACCAGGTGAAAAAAATGCTAGCCTTTCCCTTGAGGACTGCAGAAAAATTAAAATAGTAATGTTTTTTGGGTATGTCATAACTGTAATGATAAACCACATAGAAAACTCTGTAGAGGAATCATTAGTTTTATTGTCAGAGAAGAATATAGCACACAGTAAATAAGACAGGCTGCCACACCTAGAACCACAAGGAAAAAACAAAATACAGTTTCATCACTCAGTGAGCACCATCCATCATGTGTTATGAATGAGGCACAGGAAAAATATTGTGTGATCATCTAATTAAAGGCGATATCATCATTCATATTAAAAGGGGCCAAATTAAGGTTGAACAGCCAGCTTTAGTGCTGACATTACCTCACTCTTGAGTGCCTGATTTAGCAATGTTAATAATACTCCCTTGACTTAGTATAGAACACAAAATCGGGATTTTTAAATACTTTTTTAAAGACTGGTTAGGAAGTCTAGCCTCAGAGTTGCCATGAATTTTGGTATGACTGTATCTCCTATTGGGCTTTAGGATGCTCACCCTCACTTAATGTATGCATTTAGCTACCCCGAAACATATACACACAATTTCCATACCACTTTTGTTACAAAGAGGTTTCCATAATTTGCAAACTTCCCACATTTTCACAATTAAATTATTTTAGTCTACAGTTTAGCTTGTGTGTGGTAAAACCATAATTTGCTGTCTCTTAATAGCAGCCATTGCGCTATTTAAAGAAATATGACAAATATTTTCCCTGACTTTAACTTGATTCTTTGCTTCTCTGCCCACATGAGTAATATTAGCTTAATTACTACCAGTACCTGTCAAAGCCACTTGGAACACTGGGACTGGACTGACAAATGGCTAACTGTTGCACAGGCTCCCACATGGCAGTTTTTCATGACCATGCAGAAGGCACGTGCTTCTTAGTTAGTTTTTCCTACTGGATTTGCTGTTCAAAGACTATTTCAAATCCTAACAATAACTTCTTCTTTGTCCATTATTTTCTATGAAGATTGGTCAGTCGGAAGGGCTCTGATAGCCTTTGGTAGCCTTTGAAGACTCGGGTACCCTTAGACTGAACACTGAGAGGAATTATAATGTAAAAGCTGAGTTCAAGCATAGTCCTGGAGAGACCATCTATCTTAGATTAGCATCACTGAGCTGGGTTTGGTGTTCCTGCCCTGGAAGTAAAGGAGCAAGCAGCAGGAGATGTTTAAGTGAGGTTGCCTCTGAATGCAGCCATGGAGATGCTAGGCTACTAATCCTGTCTTTTAACACTCCTGCGTTTGTGTGAACAGCAGCAAATGTTGGTGACAGATGTTTTCCATCTGCAGCAGCAAGGGGAAGCACCTACTCAAAAGTCTTATGTGTACTAGGAGAAGAGGTCATCCCAGCTAGGATATGCCAGCTGCTCTGCACTGCTCATGGTGTTCAAAGCCTCAGCTGCTGCTGTAGCCAACTGCTTCAACTAGGGCCGTAGATATTGCAGGGAAGGAAAGAAACCTGGGAGTTCTGTTACATATTTGGGTCATTATATTTGGC